TTCTGGCCGAACTGCAATATGCCATCTTGCTTCGTTTACGACAAATAAACATAAAGTGCCATTTTTTACATGTTTAAATTAGTGTTATCCTTATATAGCGTTTTCCTAATTTATATGATAAATCTAATCAAACCATTGTATATTTTGAGTAAAAGAAACTACATCGAAGACATGTGTCACATGTTTGAAAAATTAATTTGATTCACCTCAAAACATTCAACAAATATATTAGAGTATAATATTCGGCTTGCTATTAGATAGTCTGTTTATTTACAATGATATACAGTAATTGTACTAATATTAATTTTTAGTAAATCACAGAAAAGCACAGTAATTCGTAGTATCATTTTTAGATATATTTAGCACTGAACATGTATCCATTTATATTTAGCTGTTTTTTCATAGTTCTTTGTACAATAGATTTTCCATCATCATATATTTGTCCGATCATTTGCCAAATAAGGCTATTACGAATGCCTTTAGCAGACTTTAACAACTTTCATTCTTCACTCTTGTAAGTACGAAAATCAAGTTCTTTAGCTTTCAAATGAATAAGTCTTATTTTATCGGTATACTTCTTCACATATTTAACAAAATCTTCAGCGTTTCATATACTTTTATTGGACGATGAAGACAAGTTATGAACCGTAGCGTAATATTTGAATAATCCTCCAACACCATTACATGAGCTCTTTCCATGTTCTGTAGCTGATAAGATCCATTTTGCATTCTTAGTCATTGCCTAATTCGTTAATTGCCTAACTTAAATCTATTCTTGAAATGAGCTGAAGTGTCATCAGACATTGTAGTGAAACTATTTATCGTATTCACTAATTTTTTACACTCACTTGCTATCAAATTCATAGCTTTCAAAGCAAACGCTGAATCATCCCGTCTGTTATCACTAATTGACGGATTTTTTTATCTAATCTGATGGTACCTTGCTGAAGCTCTTTGATTCATCTAATGCTTGCTTACTTTTTCTATGTACTTCTATAGTTCCTTTAGATAAACATCAAATGTGCAAGTTTTTTTCACTAGATCGTTATTCTCTCAGATTGCGTAAGTAATTTCATCATGAAGTAAGTGTTCTTCTTCATGACGAGTTTTATATCATGTAATATATAGTTTTCTTGATATGCGACAAAATATAAGTTTTCTGAAGACTTGAAAGTATCAGCATTGCTAAACCTAATTTTTCTGAATAATTCACATTTTTATTTGATGATATCGATCTGAATTTTCATTCCATTCGTAACATGTTTTGCATTTATCAAATACTCATTTGTCTGTAGAAACATCATATAATTTTATAATTTTCATGATGATTCTACGTACTTTCGGTTAAATGTTTTAACGAACTTTTTGAGAATGTTTTTTTTGGACATCTATTTTGCTAACCTTTCTCGTGAAATAATTTTCACTTTTTTATTAAGAACATTATTTACTGCTGCAATTAGTTCTATTGAGCTTACAAATATACTTATTGTCAATATTTTGATGGATTAGAAATTCCGCCCAACCTTTGTATCAAGCTTCAGGAAATAAAGTGCTACGGTTTTCGTTGATGTAAGTATGTACTTAATCCATTTCTTTGCAATTTTGTAATGTGTTGGTACTATTGAATTACAATACCTGGACTCTTTTCTTCTTTAATATACAAAGTGTCCAAAAAGTCTTCAGAGAATGAAACATGATTTTTGACGTCTAGAATGCATACAGGGTGTGCAAAAACTTCGGAGTCCAAAAATTTTCCAGACAAAGTAATTTTCCAAATGGTTAAGATCATTCTTGAAGTAACTTTTTACGAGGAATCCATTGGTGACTTTGAATGTGATCTTTACCGTGACCTTCAAGGTTATTTGAAGGTCAGCTTGGTTTTTATGATAGGAAACACCTATTTTTGACCCCAAAATTCGGAAAGAATGGGAAATTCTACTTACAAATAAGGTAAAATATTTGGGGTTTAAGAGATATCCAAGGTCATGTGGGAGGATTAGCTTCATTTTTGTTCTTAATCTTTTCAACCGAACGATCAGATAAGAATAAAAAAATATTTTAGACAAAAATTACTCAAATACAAAACATTGCTCACATACAAAATTTTACATATAATCTAAACGACAATAAAAGCTTGAGCTCGTAGGTCAAATAATCTACTCGTAACTTTGACAATAAATAGGATAAAAAATCCTGAGTTTTGCCGCCTCAAATACCCAAAAAGTACAAAACAAACGTTTCATAAAAAGAATACATTTTTTCTTATTGCATCCAACCGTCAACCCGCCACTCAAACGCGATCTCTAATACGGTTTCCAGATTTTTATAACAGAAAAGTTCCACCAACTAACCGTCAGATTCTAGTATTTGTCAGAACTGATCTGTGAAATCGAAGTTTTTGAATCAAAAACTTTATTGCCTATTTACGCTAATAAATTGCAGACTGACAGAAAAATATTATATTGATTTTGTCATAATTTTTCTCGTAGAATATACGAGATTATTATTCTCGTGTTGGCGTAATCAGTTTTTAAAAACAATGCATTTTGTGCAATTTGTTTGAATAATTTTTTGTAAACAATTGCAAATGACATAAAGAAAAGACAAGGGTTCTTATTATTTTCATTATGCCCTGTTTCCAATAGTTAGTCTGATGCTATCTTACTTAGTTTTGGTTTGGGCTTTAATGGGTTAAGGCATTCCGGTAGTACCCCCACCATAAGGTTTTTGCGCGAAGCCAAAATTCGGCGAAGGTGATTCGGAACTAGTATCGATTCTACCCATTCGTTATTCATTATCTGCAATATTCTAGGGGTGCAATTTATCTCAAAGGTTTGAATATCAGAGGGCAAAGCGTTGGTGACCTCATCTGCGCCTTGCTCTACTTGTTTTTTATTCTGGGCAGATGAACTTGAAATAATCAAGTCAAGTTCACTCCTAGCACATAAATTTGGCACCTGAGTCTACTTTTCTACCCCTAATTCTTGTCGGACTTCAGCGTGATGACCCATGCGCCACTGTGACGGTCTCTTCCTCGGTCCGGTTGCAACTAATGCCGTCGTCGTGCGGAGATAATAGCGACGCAGAGAAGCTATTCGTTGTTATTTGTTCTACTTTTACAAGCAACTTTGAACCACCTATCGCACCAGGCGACTCGGGGAGACTCTTAAACGCAGCCGCGGCCATATCATTAAGTCTCTTGTAGAACAGCTTCTGGAAAGCCTTCTACAAATCTGTTTCGGAAAGCGACACTACAGTCTTCAAAGCGGAGGCTACATGTACTTTTGGCTTGGCCGTCTTAACTTTTGGTCGATAAGCTATCTCGGGCAATAAACTCTGCTTGAGAAGATGAAGGTTTCTTTGCAACAGCTACTGCAGAGTAGTGATGTTCATCTAATTCTTTCTTAGTTTCTTTTCCAGTCTCGGCAGCATTCGATGGCCTGAACGATTTGGTCTCGAACTCCCCATGGTGCATCGAAGCGGCTGAAGATTATATTGAGCGCTGACAAATAATCTCATACTGCTTCATCGGCGCTTCGCTTTTGTAGATGTTCTTTGGTGGAAATATTTCTCTTCAATCATTGAGATTTTCTATATGCTTCCAACACTGCTACTTTAAAGTTGGCGTAGGTACCCAATGTCGGATTGACCATGCGATACCATACAAGAACTAGCTTCTTAAACAACGAGGCCAACAAACCCAAAAGTTCGTCCTCGTCTATTTGATTCAACTGTTAGCTCTCTTCAATCTGTTCCTAGAATTTTTCTACGCTCACGTTTGATTCGCTAGAGAACTGGATTTTTCATTCTCTTATGATCTTCCCCAACCTAAGTGTTTGTTGAAGATCGTTGAGCGAGAGGCATCAAAGGGATCACGCGAGGTCACTGCGATTTCGCCCTTTCGTGACAGCAAACAATCATATCCTGCGCTGGATTCCGCGGTGTGGTCGATGCTTGCGAGAGTGAGGCATGGCACGCGTTTCTCCTCTCTCCCCTCCACCAGCTAGTGCTGACCTAGCTCGAGCATGCAGGAGTATGCGTGGAAAAATTAGATGTTTGGGGTGTTGCACATGCCTAAGGTATTGGAACTTGCTACATTGTACGTACAATGTGTAACCTTGACGGTTACATCGTTGGTAGTGGCTGATATTGTAGTGGCCGTGATGCAGGATTATTATGCAGTCCTCGTTTGCCGCTCCTAAGGACTGACGGCGTAGTCTAAAGGCTGAGGAGGTAACGAGCTTCACTAAAGAATTTTAATTGTATTTTGAGCTGCTGAGTACGAATTTCGATGATGGATTGCTTTAAAATCAGTAGTAAATCAGTTATTAACTATTTAATTGTTTAAATATTTATAACATTTTTATCAATCAACTGACCGATATTCCAAAATAAGCCATATATTTTTTATGGCATTACGAATGCATTAGCTTGTTAGACTTAAAAAGTATTAATAAACCCGAATTATTGGAATTTTAGTTTAACAGTTATATTGGTAACCCCTCGTTTCGGCTTTCGCTGCTCGCATTTTGTTTGTACTAAAATCGCGATATTTTGACTTTTAATAAATATTTTTTATATTGGCAAAAACCAGTGCGTTCGTTATTTAATATCGGCATATATCCCTTCCCCTCTCCCCTCCTCCTTTCATAATATTTGTATATATTGCCGTCTCATAATGTAGTGCTCTGTATGAATGTTATTTAGATAATTGAAGTCACGAGCGATCTGATATCGTGAGGGAGAGTGACGCCAGCGCACTTTATGCTAACAATTGCACTGGTGTACTAGTAGGGCAAAAGTACGCGTGCCGTTTATTTTTATAGTACCAAGACGATGGCCTTACGTTTTCAGATGTTGGGATTTATTGAGTAAAATATGTTTAGTTTTTATTGTCGGATAATTTCGTAATAAACCATTATATTTACTGTTGATACATTGATATCTATAAATCTATTCTTAACGTAACTGTATTTTATGTCTTTTTTTGTCTTTTGCAGATGCACCTATAGCTCATGCTGCAGCCTCTTGGTTAGTCATGCCTCAAGAGGAAGCACTTTTTGCTTTTGCATTTAATTCTGGAACAATACTTCTGTTACGGTTAGATACTATTACTGGTCTAGTGCATCAAAGTGAACTGAAAATTGAATCTATAGTTCCCCGCTTTCTCAATGGAATAGCAACTGCACTACGAGGAAAAACTTTTGAAAATGAAGTTTTTATGTCAATAGTGATGCATGCATTTGGCAATGAGGTCTATTTATTTACCTTTTGTAAAGAAGGTCATTTGCGTATGTGGTCCTGCGATAAAGCTCAATGTGTTGCTGTTATTAATGTTTTTACTAACAACCAGTCGTCTAATGAAATAATCCAACATCATAATCTACGAAAAATTACAAACAGTAATGATGCATTATATTTATGCACATATATAAAACTTGCCGCAAGATGCGAGTTTTCTATTTTCAAGTTGATCCAAGATTCAGCGTACGCATTTATTCGAGTTTGTACGTTACTTACACCTAAGGTAACAGTGTTATTTACAAATGATTACTATGTAACTATCGAATACCAATTTAAATTGATCTATTATATTCTACTATCTTATTATTATTTTTCACCATAAGTTATCGCTAAAATGATGATATAGTTTCTTCTTTAAAATTTTATTTAAAAATTAAATTATAACGTTTACATTTTATCAAGGGTCGCGTTCGAGAGCCGTAGGTGAGTAGGCACGAAGTGGCCACGACGACTACTGATCGGCCGCAACACTCTATGCAGTAAAATGGAAAAAAGTCAGATTTGCCGAACAGAATATACCTATTTTTCATGCTTTTACGTATCGATTTCCTAATGTGATATACAGTTTAAAAAATCTAGAATCTCTTCTATTATCTGAAAAAGGATTTACTTCGATAGCATTTGATTTGAGAAAGTTATTTGAGTTTGAAGTTTTGAGTAATGTTGCTTTTTCGACATTTTAAGATTCTTCTAATGCTTTGTTTTATTTTTATACGTCTCTACGTGTTTTCCGTATTTTACGACTATTTTTCACGTACAAAAATAATTGATGATGTGGTCAATAAATAACAACGCATAATGACACAACAACCACTTATAGTTGATGTATAATAATTCTTTCTAGTTGTATAATAATTCCGTGTATATTACGTTATTTCGTACGTCATTTATGTCAGCATTTTTCTCTAAAACTAAATTAACTGTTTTTTAATATACCTGTATTGAAAAACTACATAATATGTGGAAACCGTTGGGGGAAAATCAAATTATAATCAAGTGGACGGACTAACGGCTGATATATGAGGGGTGTTCAAAAAGTAAGGTCACTTTATAATTTCCTCAAAAATATTTATTTATTGGTCAATATTTATATTGTCCCCTTCAAAGTAATCCCCGTTGGATATAATACACTTGTGCTAGCGCTTTTTCCAATCATCGAAGCACTTTTAATAATCATTTTTAGGTATTAGCCTTGAGTTCTTTCAGCGATGCAGTTTTTATCTCCTCAATCGTTGGAAATCAATGTCTTTTTACGGATTTCTTAAGTTTTACAAAAAGAAAAAAGTCACTAGAAGCCAAATCCGTTGAATATGGAGGCTGAGGCATGACTATGGTGTTGGTTTTGACTAAAAATCTCTAACAAGCAATGATGAATGAGCAGGTGTATTATCGTGATGCAAAATCCACGAATTATTTTTCCAAAGATCCAAACGTTTTTGCGTATTGCCTCTCCTAAATAACGCATAACTTCAAGGTAATACTCCTTATTGATCGTACGATCTTGTGGTAAGAATTCTTGGTGAACTACGCCACGGTAATCAAAGAAGACAGTGAGCAAAACCTTAACATTTGATCGTACTTGGTGTGCTTTTTTGGATGTTGGTTCTTCTGGGGTTTTCCATTGGAACGATTGGACTTCAGATTCAACATCATAACCATATACCCACTATTCATCACCAGTTATAACCCTTTTGAGAAAATCAGGATCTTCATTGACTTCATTCAACATCTCCTGAGCGATGGTCATATGACGGTTCTTTTGATCAAAATTAAGCAATTTTGGAACGAATTTCGCTGACACACGTCTCATGTCCAAAACATCCGAAAGAATATCATGGCATTATAACCGATATGCCAACATCTTCTGCAACTTCTCTGATCACGATCAAAGAATCACCATTCGACGATTTTTTAACACAATTTCTTTCACTGCTTCAACGTTTTCATATATTGTTGATGTGCTGGGACGTCCAGGGCGAGGTTCGTCTTCGATATTCTCTCGGTCCTCTTGAAACAGCTTATACCACTTATACACATTTTTCTTACTCAGAGTAGACTCACTGTATGCAATTGTCAATATTTCAAAAGCTTTAGAGCACTGGATTCCATTTTTCACACAAAATTTAATGCCAACTCTTTGCTCCATTCTTTTCGGTAGAAGAAAATCGCCGAGCACATCAAACACTTCTAACCGCTGACACCTCTGCCAGAAAAATAGCATGTGCTATATAGTCAAAACTGTAAATATATAATCGTGGTGAGTGTACCAACACAACAACAACAATTCAAAACTTGAATGTACGTAGCCCGCGAAAATAGATAAGTAACCTTACTTTTTGAACACCCCTTGTACATAGTACTTTATGGCTCCATGGATTTCCATAGTGTTTTATGGTGTTCGACGCATCTTGATGGATTCACAGACCTCTATTGTTCCATATGGTAATCCATGGACTTCTACGGTGTTACATAGTATTTTATACTGTTTTATAGTGTTTTATGCTGTTTCATAGTGTTTTATAGTATTTTATGGTGTTTTACGGATCTCGATGGATTCATAGTTCTTCATAGTTCCTCATGTACTCCATAGGTGTCCATGATATTAATGGTGTTCTCTGGTGTTCCACGGATCTCGATGAAATCCTGATTCTCCATGGTTCCCTATGAAATTGCATTGTATTTTATGGCGTTTAATTGTGTTCCACGGATTACGATGGATTTACAGTTTCCCATTATTCCTTATAGTATTCCATCGTGTTTCATAATGTTCTATGGTGTTCTACGAATCTCGATGGATTTGTGGTTCTTCATGGTACTCCATGCGATTCCAAGGTGTTTTATGGCGTTTTAAGGAGTTTTATAATGTTTCACAAATCTTGATTCATTCGTGGATCTCTCCATAAGCTTCCATGGGTTAGGATTTATGGTTTTTTATGATGTTCGACACATCTTGGTGGATTCATTGTTCTCTATTGTTCCTTATGGTATTCCATGGTATTTGATGGTGTTTAATGTTTTCCATGTATCTCGATGAATTCACGGCTCACGATTGTTCCTTATAGTACTCTATGAGGTGGGTTTAATGGTTTTCCAAGATGTTCCATAGATCTTGATGAATTTATGATTCTTCAGGGTTCTCCATAAATTAGCAGGTGTTTCATAGTGTTTTATGGTGTTTCAGAAATCTCGACGTGTTAATGGTTCTTCATGATACTCCATGAATTCCCATGGTCTTTTATGTTGTTATATAACACAGGCCGACAAAAAATTTTACCAAGAACCCGAGTATAGTTTTCCGAAGGTTTTTTGCGCGCTGAATCCGAATCCGAGGTCAGAATTACTCTGGTGGCTCCGGTTTTCGAGATATCCTAACCTTAAAGTGCAAAAAACGCGATTTTTGCCTATATTTGAGGTTATGTAGTAAAGAAAAGAAATTTTTTTTCAAAAAACTGTATACATCAAATTAAAGTATGAGTTTTCTTCTTTCAAATGCCGTTGAGTATGCTCGGATATCTTTTTTTTCACGAAGTTACACAAATTTGAAATAAAAAGCACTTGGCTAACTTGCTCTACCCAGCGTCATGTGGGTGTGCCTGCTTAGGGGTTGGGAGGGCTGGTTTTAAAGGGTTGAGGAGGTATTTGGGGATGAGGCCTATCTAGATCATATTAGTACGCATACCTGTGATTAGAAAATGAGTTTTTTTATCAAAAAGCAGTTAATTAAACTTGCTCTACCCAGGGTTATATGGGTGAGCCTGTTTAGGGGTTGGCAGGGGTGGTTTCTACCCGTAAGAGAGCATTTTGTAAATAGAAGCACGATGCTCACAATATTTTTTAGTGTTTTGTCATATTTCCAAGTTTGGTTTAAATTGGTGAGTGGCTCTTTAATATGGTTACTTGTTAGATAGCTTGGGCTGAATGATGTGGTGCTTTTTAAATTCATAAAATTTGAAATTTTCAAATTTGTGTAACTTCGTGAAAAAAAAAAGATATCCGAGCATACTCAACGGCATTTGAAAGAAGAAAACTCATACTTTAATTTGATGTATACAGTTTTTTGAAAAACAATTTCTTTTCTTTGCTACATAACCTCAAATATAGGCAAAAATCGCGTTTTTTAACCCACTTTAAGGTTAGGATATTTTTTAACCCACTTTAAGGTTAGGATATCTCGAAAACCGGAGCCACCAGAGTAATTCTGACCTCGGATTCGGATTCAGCGCGCAAAAAACCTTCGGAAAACTATACTCGGGTTCTTGGTAAAATATTTTTGTCAAATTCTGTCGGCCTGTGTAACGTTTTATAGTGTATTGTGGTGTACCACGGAACTCAATGAATTCCTGATTATCCAGAATCCCCATGAGATTATATGGTATTTAATGGTGTTGCACGAATCTAGATGAAGTAATCGTTCTCCTAGGTTCCTCATGATTTTGCAAGGTATTTTAAGGTGTTCGATGCATTTTGATGATTCGCAGTCCTCCATTGTTCTTATGGTACCTATGAAGTTTTATAGTATTTTATGATGTTCTACTGCCCTTGATAGATTCACGGTCTTGCATTGTTCTTAATGGGACTACGTGGTAATTACCCGTTTCGTGCACATAAGAGTCACAGCTATAGTGCGGGGAAACTGTTTATATTTTATATGGTCCCGAGTCGCGCTAAATCCGAATCCGAGGTCCGATTTTGAAAATTCAAGATAGCGGATTTAATATGGCGGACGTAAATGTCAAAAAATCTATATTTTAAAAAACAAAATTTTTTTTCGAACAGAAACTGTTCTTGGTGTTTTTTCGATATCTGTCTTAGTTCTTGAGTAAAAAATTCATAAACTTTGAAAATAACGCAGACCTATTTACCGTCTATTTCGATCGTGCACATAATCGTTGCACCCATATGAATAGAAAACTAATTATGCTCTAAGGAATCCTGAGCCGCGCTGAATCTGAATCCGAGGTCAGAGTTTGAAAATTCAAGATGGCGGGTCCAATATAGCGAATGGGAAAGTCAAAATTTCAAGATTTTTAGGAACGAATAATTATACTGTACTCTGTGTCGAGAAAACGAAAACAGGAATACATTTCTATGTGAGAATTTTCAAAAATTATATGAGATAGGAATTCTCATATCACTGGTCAGGCTGAGGATCAATTGAATTATCAGCTGCATAGCCTTCACTCTATTAGTTTCAGTGATGATTTCACTTACTTACACTCAACA